ACACCATGTCTTAAGGGTTGCATGGTTTTTCAAAGGGTTTTCATAAAGCATAATGAGTCTTTCATGTTCATATTTGATCCGAACGTCTGGACGGGTTGCATGTTAGATATACGTTCTATGTTGGAGGTTCCAAGTAGAATATGAATTAGGAAAATCTAACCTTCAAAGTGGCATGTGTAGATCATGAGTAATTGGTAAAAGTTCATAGGATTGCTAGGTGATGGTGGAACCCTAGTGTTTTCTTAATTTGATTTCTCTCGAAACTGTTTTCTTTTCATTCTAGTTTTTAATATTGCAGATTGTTTATTTTAATTCATTAATTTCGTTTTATTTTAATTAGGTTATAAAATCAATCACCTCAATTTCTACTTTACAATAATTAAATGGAATCTGATTAGTTTCAAATTATTTAATAATCCCTGTGGAGATGACCTTGCGAGATCCGTTTATACTACAATAACCTTGTGATTCTTGCAAGTAAAATAGGAGATTTAAGCCTGTTCACGTGAGTAGTAAAATGCCTATCAGGTACCCATCGCGATACTCAGAGTACCACCTTACTCTAATACCAGGTGTTAATACCTATAGAAAACCCTTTGCCTTTCTACTATTTACGCTAGACCAGAGATGATGATATTTTGCTTATCGGGAATGTCCTCCCATTTACCTATTATTCTTATTCCCTTTCTGGGTTTTTTGAGTTTCGTTGCAACGTTATGCAATGATATGTACTTTTTAGCTCTTGTTGAATGTTTGTCCCAGTGAAAGTTCGTTGGAGACGTGGTCGCTTGATTGTGAATCGAAAACACTTTTTGAATCCTTTTGTCAGACCATAAGCGTTGAAACTGAGAGTTCTCGATTGGACTAATTTAGTTGGCTTGGCTAAAGCATTTCCGTGTATCGGAGCTCTATTGGAATAAATTTCTCTTGGGGATTACCTAGTATGGATGCCTCTTTCGAACCTACTAACATTTGGCGTTGTAGAGCTTACTTAACTTAGTAAGTTGGTCTGAGATAGAAGTAGTCGTACTCGGGGTCAAATTTTAGAGCCGCCTTCGGATGAGTTACGGATCGCCCTTTCAACTATTCTCTCGGATGGCGTAGAGCCCAGGTTTGAATATTATAACCCACAACCTTGTTGGTTGCATAAACTTTTGGAAGACCAGAGGGTGCATTAGACTTCCGGGTCAATGAGCCATGTGCTCGTGTCTGTAGCCCACCAATTGTTACCGCACTTATTATGGTTTGAGTCTCCCAAGCTGCTAACTGTTCCAGACAGATTGGGCAAAAAAAGGTCATCTGATAGTGTAACTTTGAATGTTTTTAGACTTCCATTGATGCGAAGTTTTCAAAGTTAAGGCCCTGTTTTGAATGAGTAGGGTACTCCCTGCATCATTGAAAAAAAAACACATATTTGAGACAAACATATGCTTCTTTATTCACGAACCAAGTAAATTTGGTTTACAAGGGGGTGTGATTGAATTCGAGAATGATTGCCTACATATCTCCTAGATGGAGAATCAAATCACTAGTGTAGTTCTAACGAAAGGATGATATGACATAAAAATTACATCAGGGATCACTTTTGACGATAAGCCTATGGTGGGGCATTAGGAGATGAGTTCTTTATGGACTTGTCTTCGCGGAGACGACGGAGTTGCAGTTAGGTCTGCAGAGGACTGCCTACATATCCTGGGAAGGGAATCAAATCGCGTGTAGTCTGTGTTACCCTTTATTGTTATTCGATCTTAAAGTGACGACGGAGTATCCATTTCAAGCTGACTGTCACCAGATTTCTCGTAACCCCTTTACTGCTTGCATTCATCCTTCACGGATGAAGTTTATGTTGAGGGTCGATTTCTTTGCAAATTGTCGATCTTCATCATCAATGTGCTTATTCGGTAGATCCATTTTCCCTGGGTTTGGCCAAATTTTCTTTTCTTACCTTATCTCTGACGAATTCCCAACAGTGCCCCTGATCTAGTAATTCCTCGATGTTATCCCTCAGCGCTCAACAACCTTTGGTGGCGTGGCCGGTACTTTTGTGGAAAGAACAGTATTCATTTGGGTTCTTCTTAGCCAGATATTCTAAGAGTGGTTTTGGGCGTCAGAGGAAGGGTTTGTCCTTTATACTATGGAGGATGTTATTAAGGGTAATGTTCAAGGTAGTGTACTGCTTAGGATTTGATATGACTTGTTTGTCTCGACACTCTCCTCTCATAAACTGTCGCAGAGAAGGTGGGATAGTGTCTTTATCCACCCTTCTTATGTCAATTTTCCTAGAGTAATCTAGTTCAACAGCTATCCTTTGACTCTTATCATCCCAGTTGGTCAGAGTGTATGTGATATCAAAGCATTCAGCTAGAGTATCATAGTCGTACTTCTTTTTGTTTAGCTTCTGAGAAAGAATCAAATGAACATAGAGGTCTCGTTTGATTGCCATAGTCGCGAGTTTGTCATTTGGTTTTTCCACCTCAGCCAATTCTGCACGGAAGCGCTTCAAATAGGCTCGAAGACTTCCATCTCTAGTTTAAGGAGTAACCTGAACATAGCTTCGTGGCGTTTTCGGACATCACGGTGTACGAAATAAGTATTCGTAAATAAGACAGCCATAGTTTCAAAGTAGTCAATGGACTTGGCAGGTAATTCCGAGTGCCACCTCATAGCGGGTCCCTCCAAGGTGGACGGGAACATCTTGCACATCCAAGCATCGTTGTTGTTGTATAACACCATGATGTTTTTATAATGCATGATATGGTAATCACAGTCGGAGTCACCATGGAACGACTTGAACCTTGGTTGAGAGAATTTTTTTTGGCAAATGAACTCTTTCGATTATTGCTGAAATAGGTGTTCTAATTCAGAACATCGGTTTGCTCGGAGTACGGGGTGAGATGTGACCTACATGGTTATCTTTATTCAGAGAATATCACTACTCTTGGTTCTTAGAAACCTTAGGTTCGCTGAACCCTAAACAGCGAGGTTTTGCTCTCAGTACCCCCGGAGATGTTTTAAGGGGGATTTATGGATTATGGTTTCCTTCCCCCGTATCCGCACTCGGGGTTCATCGGTCATCAGTGGGATTTCTCACGGGGCCGGCGGCATTTGGGTAGAAGGCATTGTCCCACTCGAGTTCTCCAGGTTTTTCGTCCATCTTTCCATGTCCATGAAGTTGGAATGGCTTTAAACATGGGCAGAAGTCTGGTTCTTTTGTAGTTTTTCGATGAAAGTGATGATCTTGGTCAATTTCCAAAATTTGATCTATAGAAAAATGAGACCTTTTGGCTGGTTCTCCTCATTTCTTAGGGATGACCGTCGTCCTTTGGAGGTGCTTGCTAACTCCGAGCGTTGCTGTAGTAGCTAGGACCTTTTTTAGCGTATTTTGATGTCCTGATTCCAAATTCGCACTCCGTTTTTCCAAATTTGATCGTTTAAGTTGAGTTTTACTAATTGGTTCCAATATTATGCTTAGGTGCAATTACTATCAGAGACTCTGGCTTAATAACGAATTTTCTATGTGATGTCGTAATTAAATTAACGATTATAAGAAATGTCGCAACGATGAGAATTAGGAAATTGTTATAAATCCTACGGGATACCTTAATTAGATTTACGGCTATGAATAATATTATGTTGACTAGAACCATCAAATCATTGTGGCATGACTATGTTTACGTTATCTGCTCATCGTGTGCTACACTAGTGTCAATACTCACCTGGACCAGGGCTAGGCTTCACATGTTTGTTCACATCACACCGTACGCTCACTTTGGATCCATTGTAGGTGCCAGTCTTGTGCTAGATTGTTGTAGGCAATTAGGACTCGTATGCGACGCGCATAGCGCCAGTCTTCACGTGATTGTAAAACTAGAGCGTAAATCATTATTACACTCAATCCTATTCATGTCAGAATATCTCTGCATGAACTCGTGTGTCAGCATATGTCAATGAGCACTCGATATGAAAGGTTTATTTCTGTGAGATATTGTGATTACCGGAAGTTAAATGCTTATTTACGAATTGTTATGAAGTATTGCATTTTTTTAAGGTAAGTAATTTTCATACTATACGTAGTATGTTATGTTTGGAAACTATACTTGTTTTACGGCGATGGGTTATTACATTTTCAAAAAGGTTTTTACAAAGTTTTATTTTTAGGCTCACTCATCCTTGTTTTTCGCCTCTCCATGTTCTTGTAGCTGAGCTTTCGTATCGACGAGGATTCTTGAAAAATCTTGGTACTAGAGATTACCTTCGATGGAATAATTCTTAATCCACTCTACTATACTTTACTTATACTCTAACATCACGTGTGCAATGGGAGCTCCGGCTGACTAGGCACTCTTACATTTAGGCACTTTTAGGTTTAAATTTACTCACATTTCTACATCACTACACTTTATGGCTTCGTCACCCTCCTGGTGTCGGCCAACATAGCTCGATTCGTAGTCCAGGTGGACATTCCGGGTCAGGGTGTGTCACAAACAATATTATCTACACTAAGGGAGACAGGTGGGTTTAGCCTCACAATGAGCTAGCAATAATGTGGTTTAAATTCACTTTTGACGAGAATCAAACTTAAGACCTCTCACATACAAGTGAAGATGAATATCACTAGATCGTAGTACTAAGTAGAAAAAAAGTCACTAATTTAAACTTTTGAGATTGTAGAAAATTAGTTATTAGCTAGCTTAGGTGGATATATATTAAATAAATAGAAAAATGTTAAGCTGACAATTGATTAAAGCATCTAAATCAAATTTTGTAAAGGAACAAACGTTTAGTCTGAACAAGTTGGAAAAATGTAAAGGATTCTAAGTACTAAAAAAAAAAAATATATATATATATATATATATATTATGGTGGGTTTTAAATTAAAAAAAATATTAAATTTCAAGGGGTAAAGTCATATTTTCAATTTTTGTTTTGGTATAAAATTTCTGTAAGGTTCCCAAATAATAAATTTGGTAGTTCAATTAATGGATTGACATTATTTGTAGTTTTGTTCTTGTGAATATATAATACAGACTAGAGTAAGCGAGTCACATTTGGAGCTGAAAAAAGTTGATGATGACAGACTCAGCTGATGAGAGCAATGCAAAGGCTGATCACTCCATAATTCAAGTAGAAGAGGAGAGAGAGAGAATTGAGAGAGAAATAAGTCATGTGGGTAACCAAAGTTGGAGCGGAAACAAAGAAAATGAAGACGAATTAATAGCGTCCCGGATAGAAGGAAAGCTTCCCAAGGAATCAACAGAAGAACCAGTTCATACTTGCATCTTTAGAGTCCCTACTAAACATGTCAGGGACAATGAAAATGCTTTTGTCCCACAAGTGGTTTCAATCGGGCCGTATCACCGCGGAAGAGAAAAGCTTCAAGGCATGGAACAAACTAAGCTAAGGTATTTGCTACACCTCCTCAATCGCAAACCAACTCCAGACACCAGTTTGGGAAAGTTTGTCAAAGAAATTAGAAGCAGAGAAGAGTTTCTTCGTAAGTGCTATGAAGAAAAGTCGTATCATCTGAGTAGCTATGAGTTTGTAGAAATGATGGTGGTCGATGGTTGCTTTATTTTAGAACTTCTCCGCAAATCTGTTTCGCCTTTCCCAGGGCGGTTCTCCACATTTAAAAACGACTTGTTGCTGCTTGAAAACCAGCTTCCATGGCAAGTTCTCGACTGTTTATTCAACCTCACAAAAACATCAGAAGAGATTTCTCTATATCAACTTACTTTGGAACTTTCCGAAAACATGCGTTATCCCATTGAGACTGGGACATTGGAAATCAGACATTTACTTGACGCAGTAAGAAATTCGCTTTTTGGATGGGAAAAAAGGGAGTATTACAGAGATTGGAGTCATTGGACTCCTATTCCCTCAGCGACACATCTTGAGGAAATTGGAGTCAAATTTCAACCAGCGTATATGAAATCTCAGTTGGAAATAGGCTTCAACATAGTAAATGGAGTGATGAAAATTCCATATATGATAATTGAAGACAACACAGAATCTCTGTTCAGAAACCTCATAGTCTATGAACAGTGTCAGTTGGTGGGCGACTGTGACACATGTCCCATTTTGTCTTACGCCATGCTGTTCAATCAGCTTATCAAGTCTACCAAAGATTTACTCTCTCTCACTCAGAAAGAAATTATAGACACCAATTTGAGCGTGGAGGACACCGTTCGTTTCTTCGATAGGCTTCGCTATGACACTGAACACATGAAGTTCTTTTACTCTGCCCTCGCCCTTGACGTGAATCAGTATTATCATAGTCGCTCACTAAGGCGTTGGCTTGCAGGGATCAAAAGGGATTATCTATATAATCCAAAATCAATCTTGTCACTTTTCTCAAATGCAGTCATCCTTGCTCTCATTCTTACAGCCATACAGACAGTATATGGTATTCTCGCCTACTACAAGCAGAATTAGTAACCTTCCAATCGGTCAACCTTCACCCAAGGACCTAAAAATAAACAAGACTTGGTGACTACAGGCAAAGTTAGGAAATAATGAAACTCCGAGTTTGTATTTATTTGCTTATTTTTCTTGTCAAATAAAGCAGCTCTGTAATTGATGGTTTGATAATTATTGTAAGGACAAAATTGGTTCTTACTCCATAAATTGTGTGTAAACAAAAGAGCATGTGTAATTTCAAAAGGCTAAAAAGTAAATGTGACAACATTGAATCCAATAGAGGTGGTTTTGCAGTTACGAAGGAAATCTCTGCAGTCTCTGCATTTCATGCTGCAGACTCTGGATCATCGACAAATGATTGTGTTTAATTCTTTGTAGGAAGTTTCTAAGCAGCAGACTCAAATATAATGTAAAGAATAAAAAAAATAAGAAGGATCATTACTCAGTAGGATCTGGCGTGGTTTCCGAATGTTGCTCACCCTCTGGTTCAGCAGGAGCCTCTGGTTTTGATAAGGCGGGAGTACCATTCGCAGCAACGTCTTTGGCATGTGAAACAGGTGTGCTTGCATCTGCAGCTCCAGCTGCGGCTGTTGAACTAGTCTTTCCATTCTTTGCATCGTTTCCTTCCTTTGCGTCCTTTCCTCCTTCCTTGGCATCCTTTGCATCTTTTACATCCTTTGTATCCTTTCCATCTTTTCCTCCCTTTGCATCCTTGACATCTTTGGCAGGTGGGGGCGGCATCATGTGTGGTGGAGGGTCTGTTTCAGCTTCAGGAAAATCTGCCGCATCCTTGAAAGATGAGTCAGTTTACCAGGTTTTGGGCCCTGGATGACAACGATTGAGGGCTTCTTGTCAGGATCTTTCTTCCCTCTCTTCTTCTCAATATTAGGAACCTCACGAGGTATCAGCTCCGCTATTGCTTTCCAGTAATGTTTGTCAGCTTCTTTGTGGAACTTCTCTTGGTTGGCCAGGTACAGCTGCACAGAAATTCAAATTCACGTCTTAGATATGAAGCACTGACGGTGATCGTAGATGCATGTACAAGCGAGCAAGGGAGAGGGAGGGAGGGTGAGGGAATTGGGATTACGGAAGAAGTAGAACATAATGGGTTTTAGAATTACTACCTTCTCCCTTTCTCTGTTGTGGGCTTTGTTAATTTCACAGCTGAGCTTCCGTTTCTCATAGAAGGCCCGCTTAAATTCCTCGGCTTCCTCGATAATCTGGTTCCGCATCTCCCTTTCTCTGTTTTCATTTTCCTCTAGATGGATGACATTTAGACTGCATGCATTGACGCAAGAAGGTCAAATCAAAATATTTCAATGCGTTAATCTGTGTAGATGAAAACAATTAAGAAGAAAATAAGGCATAATTTTTATACACTCATTCATGCAGAGACGTAGGATTCACTATGTTCTGAGGCTCTCAGCCAACCGTACAAGGAACTCCAGTGTTTGTCAACTAAAAAGGTACGAATATCTACCCGCGGGACAATCGCAATAGAAAAAATTACTATAAAATGTTGCATACCGTACTACAATGGAATAGAATGTGGGACAGGCTAGTGCTTCGAACACCATATTCCCGAGAGAAACACTATAAGTTTATAACCAGCTAACACGGAATCCATCGGCAATTCAACGACATCTAGTTTGTATCCAGTGAACCAGAAGTGAATCTTAGGTTCCTTTTAAAGAGTAGAGAAGACACTGCAATCCATCCATCTTATATGATGGTCTGTGACTTGCCAATGATTCCCATAGCAACGACTGGAATCAGCTAACGAAGAAATTCAAAACAGGAAAGACGAAACAACTTATGCAATGATTCAGTCAAGATCAAAGCTCATTACCCCCATTTCAAATTTCCACACACACAAAACTCAGACACAGCAAAATTCGATTTACCGGCATAACCCAATTACCAAACACAGGGACAAAGCTCAACATCATTAATTCAGACCCCAAACTAAGAACAAAAGATAATGAACACAGAATCACAGATACAGAAATCAAATTAAACTAGATGTTATTAAGCCCCTGAATCCCATGCACGCACATTGCACAACATTATTAATCTTTAAACAGATTTTAAATCCAACTTAATCAAATAGTTAATGTAATCGTGTTATAATTAGCCGATGTTTTGCAAGTAAATAACTTCAATTCAAAAATTTTAATCTTTAATAATAATATGATTTCAAGCCAACAAATTAGGATCTGACCTCACCGACGCCACTCACGGCGAGCAAAGCCTTCCTCTCGCATCTCCTCCGGCTGAGGCAGCACCGGCTCACTAGAGGCGAAAATGTTAGGATTCGAATCCATCTCAGCTATTACCTTTTGTTAAATGCCTTGTCTAGTAGTGGAGTGGTAGAACGTAGTGACTCATCAATAGTGTACCTAACCTTTTGTCTGTAGTGTCTGTGGTGGGTATACAATCCCCCTTGTGTTCCCCTTTTGAGATATGAATGAAAAGCACTTTTATAATTCCTCTGTATTTCCTTTCTCTGCAATTCTGTTTTCGGGTGCTGCTGGAACCTACCATTTGGTATCCAGAGCCCTGGTGTGCATCCATGGGCAAAAGTAAGGCATCTGTCACGGTGGCCGACGTGACCGAGGATGAAATGGACCGTGAGTTTCAGCACAACCAAATCATCACTCAGCTGCAAGATTTTCAAGAGTCTTTTTCCATGGTGACCCTCCGCCAGGATGTCCTCCAACAAGCCATCGCCGATCTCTCGGCCCACCGGATTCGTCAAGACCAGGTGCAACAGACAATTCTTGATGAGATTCGAGCCCTAAAAACAAACCCCCAACCCAGCCCCCAAATCCCAATCGGTTCTATCCCCATCTCTCTCGGACCCACACCCTTCTCCGCCGTCCATACTCCCATTCCCCCACCCACATGGGGTTTCTCCACCTCCCCAACAGTAACCGCAACCCACCCTTCGGCTCCGCATATGGTCGCAGGTCCCTCATCCCTTCCCTTCACACTCCTCATATCTACCCCCCCCCCACTCAGTAAGCCAAACCTCCACCTCCCGTTACCTTCCCCCACCCTCCTCTGGCCCCAAACCCTCTTCCTTCACCCACGAAACTTACTCAGGACACCCACCACCACCCTCTTCTCCGCCATTCTCTGGCCCCAAAACCTTCAAGATTGACCTTCCTAATTTTTTGGGGGACGACCCATACGGGTGGCTGGCCATGGCAGAAGAATTCTTAGACTATCACAAGATCTCCGAGCACCGCCGAGTCACAGTAGCCGGCCTACACCTGAGCGGAGATGCAGCCCATTGGCTCCGTTGGTACAAAATGAGGTTTCCTCTATCTTCTTGGGTCACCTTCACAACCCAACTGCTGCAGCGATTCGGACCTGCCGACGCCGTGAACTTCAACATGGCCCTGTCGCACATTACCCAAACCACAAATGTGGAGGCCTATGTCAGTCAGTTCATTCGCCTCTCATGCCGTACTCCGGACTGGACAGATGCTCAACTATTGGGAGCGTTCTTGGGCGGCCTCAAAGACGAGTTGCAAGATGATGTTGTGGCCCAAGGACAATCCTCACTGGCGAGGGCAATCGAATTAGCTCGCATCTACGAGCACAAACAGGGCCGCCGTCCGGGGCCTCGTTCTGGGAGTTTCCGTTCCTCCACCTACAGTCCTAAACCCCAACTTTCCTTACCACCCAACCCTTCTTCCCCAACCCCTACCTCTCGAACCCTCCCATTAGCCACCGCTCATCCACCAACTAAACCAATTTTACGGCTCACACAGGCTGAGATGCGCACTCGTCGAAAGCAAGGGCTCTGTTTCAACTGTGACGACCAATATCGTCCCGACCACCGGTGCCGCCAGACCCACATTCTCATGTTATTGGCGGATGAGGAGGACCAGGCGCTCCTTCCAGAGACTCGGGACCCCACCCCGCCTCTTTTCCCTCCGGTTGAACAACCTGAGGACCCCATCGCTCTCAACGCGATATCCGCCACAAAATGTGCCCGCGGTCGCGCTATGCGCTTGGAGGGCTTCATTCGCCACACTCCAATCCACGTGTTTATTGACTCCGGGGCCGATCAAAGTTTCCTTAATCCATAAGTGGCGGTTCGCTTGGGACTCCAGGTTGACACTGCTAGAACCGAAGCAGTTATGATGGCTACGGGGCGTTGTTTCCGCACCAAGGGCGTAGCTCCCCACATTTCGGTGCGTCTTCAGAACTATACATTTACTAGCGATTTCCATCTCCTAGCGGTGACGGGCTGTGATATGGTACTCGGTGTGGATTGGTTAGAGACCTTGGGTCTCATCGGTTAGAACTTTTTACTCAGGATTATGGAGTTCTCCGTGCAAGGAACGAACTATCGGTTGGTGGGCTCGTCCACCTCACCTACCCTTTCCGCCCCAGTGCAGCCGCCTGCCACTACTTTGGGTGAGTCATCTCGACGAGCCCTACCGCACCTGGCCAGTCTCACCACAACAGAGGGTTCTTTTCTTCCCCCACCCGCCTGCATTCAGTTTCTTCTCACCCGGTATCAAGAACTCTTTCAACCACCATCATCTTTACCTCCACACCGGGAGATCGATCACCGGATCCCATTACTTCCCGGCACCAGCCCAATCAATGTTCGGCCATATCGTTATGGGCATGCCCAAAAGGCTGAACTCGAGCGCCAAGTCGACGAAATGCTCGCGCAAGGCATCATCCGTCCTAGCATGAGTCCTTTTGCTTCTCCAGCACTGTTGGTGGCCAAAACCGACTCAACATGGCGCTTCTGTGTGGACTATAGGGCGATCAATGCCGTCACCATTAAAGATTGCTTTCCGGTTCCCATTATAGATGAGCTCTTAGCGGAATTGCATGGAGCGGTGATCTTTTCTAAATTGGATCTCTGCTCTGGGTACCACCAAATCTGCATGTACGAACCGGACATCCACAAGACAGCGTTTCGTACACATGAGGGCCACTACGAATTCACCGTCATGCCCTTCGGTCTCACCAACGCGTCAGCCACCTTCCAAGCCCTAATGAATACCATCCTCAAGCCACTACTACTGAAATCTGTTCTTGTTTTTTTTTATGATATCTTAGTCTTCAGTGATTCCTTGGATAACCATATCTCACATTTAACTGTTGTATTTGATATTCTCCAACAGAATCATCTCCGTTTGAAACCATCAAAGTGTAGCTTTGGGCAATCTTCCATTGCTTACTTGGGCCATATCATTTCAGCTTCTGGGGTGACCGTAGACCCCTCCAAAATCGCAGCAATTGTTGAATGGCCGACTCCTTCGAGCGTCTGTGCTCTCCGTGGGTTCTTGGGCCTCGCCGGCTATTACCGTAAGTTCGTTCGCCATTTTGGTCTCATTGTCAAGCCCCTCACGGACTTACTCAAGAAAGACAGCTTCTCATGGTCTCCAGCCGCCGACACAGCCTTCTCAGCCCTCAAGGTGGCATTGTTTACAACTTCGGTACTGGCGCTCCCAGATTTCACCAAGCCTTTCACCTTGGAGTGCGACGTATCCAACTTCGGCATTGGTGCCGTCCTATCCCAAGCGCATCATCCAATTAAGTTCCTTAGCAAGCCTTTGGCACCTAAACACCACTCCCTCTCGGTGTATGACAAGGAAATGCTAGCAGTGGTATTTGCCGTACAAAAATGGCGTTCTTACTTAATGGGCCACCACTTCACCATTCTCACGGACCACCAAACTCTCAAGTATTTCTTGGACCAACGCATCACAACTCCAGCCCAACAAAAATGGCTGCTGAAACTCTTTGGGTACAACTACACTTTGGCTTACCATCCCGGGGCGTCCAACGCCGCCGCCGATGCCTTATCCCGTAGGCCCGAGCTCCTCTCCTTGATGGGTCTGTCGTAACCACTCTTTGATTGTGTTGCTGACATTCAAGCAGCATGTGCAACCGACCCTCACACCGCCGAGGTGATTCAGGCGTTGCAGCACGATCCTCACAGCAAAGGTTCCTTTCAGTTGCAGGGCGACCTTCTCTATTACAAGTCCGGGCTCTTCGTTCCCACTACGTCCCCGTGGCGCTCCCAACTTCTCCACGAGTTCCACGCTTCTCCTTCTTCAGGCCACTCAGGATTCTTGCGCACCTACAAGCGCCTTACCCATAACTTCAATTGGCCCCGCCTCAAAAAGGAGGTCAAGAACTTTGTGGCTGCTTGTGATGTTTGCCAACGCACCCATTACGAAACAATTAAACCCCCAGGTCCTTTGCAGCCCCTACCCATTCCAACACAAGTATGGACAGATATTGCCATGGACTTTGTCAAAGGTCTTCCCTCGGGCCATGGTCGAAATGTTATATTGGTGGTAGTGGACCGTCTCTCCAAGTACGGGCACTTCATCCCTATCAAGCACCCATATTCCGCCCCCCAAATTGCCGAGGTGTTCATTCAAGAGGTGTTTCGGTTGCACGGGATGCCGGCGTCCATTGTCAGTGACCGTGACCTCATTTTTCTGAGTGCATTTTGGACGGCCTTCTTCAAACACCAACAAACTGCCCTTTGCAAAAGCTTGGCATATCATCCTCAATCGGATGGGCAAACGGAGGTTCTTAACCACACGTTGGAGCAATATTTGCACAACTTTGTCATGGACAAACCGAATACTTGGGTTCGTTGGCTTCCTTGGGCCGAATGGTGGTATAATACTACCTTTCAATCGGCCATCAAGATGACGTCGTTCTAGACCGTCTATGGATATCCTCCTCCAACAGTTTCATCGTACCTTCCAGGTTCCTCACCGGTACACCTAGTGGATGTCACTCTCAAAGATAGGGACACTCTCCTCAAGCATTTGCGGGAGAATTTGCAACTGGCCCAACATCGAATGCGTCAACAAGCCGACAAGCACATATCGGAGCGAGTTTTTAATGTCGGCAATTGGCTGTTCCTCAAACTCCAACCGTATCGCCAGACCTCTGTCTCCAAGACTCACTGCCCCAAGCTCGCACCCCGCTATTACGGCCTCTTCCAAGTGCTCGCCCGTGTCGGCCCGGTTGCCTACACATTGGACCTTCCCCCTCAATCCCGCATTCACCCCACTTTTCACGTGTCGCTGGTCAAGCCGAAACTGGGTACACATGCGGTTGCCTCTGTAATCCTGCCACCCATCGCTGCTGATGGATCTTTCTTGTGGTTCCCTGAATTGGTCCTCCAACGTGGTATGTTCAAAAAGGCCAACAAAGCTGTCACTCGCTGGTTGATCAAATGGCAAGGGCTGCCCGAACACGACGCCACTTGGGAAGATGCCGACTCCATCGTGAGTCGTTTTCCAGAGTTCGACGCCTGAGGACAGGCTTCTTATACGGGGGGTGCCCTGTTAGGATTCGAGTCCATCT